GCCAGAATGAGATTGAAAGTTAGTACTGCTCACATATTTCTACTTAAAGCTACAGCAGTCCATGTCTTTCTAGCTATTATGAAACTTACATTTGATAGAAATTTATTAAATCACCACATGTACTACTCTCTTAATGTTCTACTGGTATCTATAGCTCTCCTTTATGAATTAATAAATAAATAAATAAAAGAAAAAAAAAAGCCCAGAACAGTGGCACATGCCTGTGATCCTAGAGACTCAGGAGGCTGCGAAGGATAGCAAGTTCAACACCAGCATCAGCAACTAAGCAAGGCTTTAAGCAACTTAGCAAGACCCTGCCTCAAAATAAAAAATAAAAAGGGCCAGGGATGTGGCTCAGTGGTTAATACTACAGGCTTTCCCCAAGTTTTTTCTTTTCTTTTTTTCTTTTTTTTTTTTAATAACTTCTATTTACCTATGAATTATCTTCACTACCTCAATAATTAGGTATCTATTAAAAATGTACACTGCAGAAGAATAAACAGGAGCCTGCTTTGAGAAACTTCATTGATTTTAATTTTAAGAGAATCTGCTTTATAAGAGATTATTTACTCAGTTTCTTTAATTAGCAAGTTCTTGAAGTCTACTTTTAAGTATAAAATGATTCAAATCTTTCAGGATTATATTGTTTAGAAGGTCCATGCCACTTTACATTCATTAACATACTGCAGAAAGCACTAACCACTGACTCTAGATTCTGTATACACCAGGTTTCTGTAATCCTTTACAAAATTAGCCAAACAATATAATATTATTAGTAATATTAATTACAGCAACAGTAGCAGAGAAATATGCACCAGGGGGCTTCCCCTTCACTACAATAAATTTAAAGGTAGTATGGATTCATTTTATTTTAAATCAAAGGCAATCTGAAAAAAATATCTTTTGCAATCAGCAGTTAACTTAATTAAGACCAACATTTAAAATATGAAGTCTTATATTTTCAGCACTCGACCACTGAGCCACATCCCCAGCCCTATTTTGTATTTTATTTATAGACAGGGTCTCGCTGAGTTGCTTAGCACCTCACTATTGCTGAGGTTGGCTTTGAACTAGCAATCCTTCTGCTTCAGCCTCCTGAGCCACTGGGATTACAGGTGTGCACCATGCATCTGGTTTAATAGTGTTTTTAAAACAAGTAGGCATGAATAAGAAAATAAATAAATAATAAGAAAAATACCCAATCTTTGCCAAAATTAGAATGCAAGACAGTTACAAAGAGAAACTGACAGGTGGAGTTATTATCAGCTGGAGACACATAAAATGAGGAAAACCACTCCTTATGTTTTATAGTAGGACAGAAGAATAAAAGAAGTAAAAACAAGAAACAAGCCTGGGTGTGGTGGCACACACACCAATAATCCCAGTGGGAAGCTGAGGCGGGAGAATCCAAATTGAAGGACAGCCTCAGCAATTTAACCAGAATCTGTCTCAAAATAAAAAATAAAAAAAGGGGGCGGGCAGGGCTGGGATTGTGGCTCAGCGGTAGAGCACTCGCCTAGCACGGGTGGGACCCAGGTTTGATTCTCAGCACCACATAAAAATAAAGGCATTGTGTTGTGTCCATCTACCTAAAAGATCCTCTCTCTCTCTCTCCTTTAAAAAAAAGGGGGGGGGGAGTGGGCAGAAGGCTGGGGATGTAGTTTAGTGGTAAAGTGCCCTGGATTCAATATCCAGTAGAGGGGAGGGGTGAGAAAGAAAAGAAAACCAGGAAACAAAAGATGGTTGAGATTCCAACTTTAAATAAACATGCTAAATCAAGCTACTTACTCCACAGTTTCTTGGATACCATTAGGACATACCTCACTTCTCCCCTGGTGTGTCCCTGTCATTCAACCATACCTGGTCCTTTCCAAAAGTAAATTTTGATAAAGAAGGTGGTTCTTGAACTGGGAGGCAATGGAATCCCTCTCCATGGTGTTTACAACCTGGATTGGGACTAAAACTATTATGTCATTGGCTGCTGGAAGTCACCCTCCCCAGGCCTTACCCAGGAGGCAGAAAAGAGTTGGTTAAGACCTGGGAAGACTGTTCAGGAGAGACCAAAACACCTAGACACTGTTCACTAAAGAGAGGTCTTGGCTAATTATCAATTAAGAATCTGTTGTCACCCTGTGTTCCCAAATGATCTGGTGTTAGTATGGAAGACATTTTCACTGGTCTGTAACCAAATAAGAATCTGAGACAATGTAATATATTCATAATACTAAACTATTTTTTTGTTTTTTTGTCATAATTATGACCTTTCTACCTTTTGGACGGTAAAAATATTCTCTTTTAGGAAAGGATGGGGACAGTAGATTGCAGTAGTTTTTAAGAAGGTCCTTACTCTTGACAGAATTAAAAACTGGCAGTCTTACCTCTGGTCCCAAATGTCCCACCCCCATAAATATATTTTTAAAAAACTTGTCTATAAAGTCCAATCTGGGAACCACTAAGAAATCTCATTTTTTTTCTCATCAATAAAACAGGGAAAGGAAACTCTGTTTTGCAGAATTGTGTATAGTAATGATAATAGATAYATAAAGCATCAAAACCTTAGAGCTTTATAATCTTAATTGTCATAATTGTTGAGCTTGATTGACTTGAAGGTTTATTCACTAAAACATATACCTAGGTTGTCTAGCAAGAGTGGTCAAAGAGCAAGCTCCAGAGTCAACCTGTCTGAACTTCAAATCCTGGCTTTGCCATTTGCTACACTGGCGAYTCTGAGTTAAGCTACAACCTCCCTGAGTTGCAATTCTTTCATTACTCAAATGGGGATGAACAAGAAAAGCTATTAAATAAGGCTGTTTTAAGAAGTCAATTAGATAATCCATTTAAGATACTTATCACAGTGCTCTGAGTGCTTTGATGAGTGCATTGATTATCAGTCATTCAAGGTGGTCATAAGTTGCTTTCTAAATGCCTGCTAGTTTCTCCATCAACATCTTCTAAAGATGAAATCCATACTAAGAGGCTCTGAAGATAATCATGACTAACATTCATTTAAAGCATTTCTTCAATTTAAATCTCCAGATCAAGAATGAGAATTTGGCAACAGATCCAGGCAAATCAAACATCTCTATGGAGTTGATTCATTACTTCTGAAATCTGTATCATGTTCACAAAACTAAGTATAACATGCAGCCATATAAGCAAAAGACTTTCAAACAAACTAACTAACCTTTAATAAATTCACCAACATATTAAAATTTTAGTTTAACTTATATAAACTTTAATATGGATTAGAATAGCTTCTTTATGTGACATTAAATGCAAATTAGACATAAACAGCATTATAATAGCGTTTAACTTACCAAAAACAAAAACAACAACAAAACCCAACCCTAAAATGGTAAATAAGTTTTTCCTTTATAATTCTCACATGTATTTTCATTAAAAAACAGAAACATACACAAACACCTTAGAAGGGTGAAACCTACAAGCACCTCTTTTTCAGTAACAACTATTAAGCATGAGTATGTTACTCTCAAGAGAATGAAGAACGTCTACAAAAGCATTACCCAACATTTTCTATTAATGCCTGATAAAGATTATATGATAAAGCACTTCTGGCCTCTATATAGAATTTTCAAGGCTTTCTAACTATCCTTAAGAGTCAGGTACAAGTTACAAATCAGGCCAAAAGTTGATTAAAAGTCCAATTTAAAAGACAATTAGGGTTGGGCTTGTGGCTCAGCCCTAGAGCATTCACTTAGCATGCGCTTGCCCTGGGTTCGATCCTCAGCCCCACATAAAAATAAATAAAATAATGTKTCSKACTACAACTAAAAAATAAATATTAAAAAAGACAATTAAACCTTTGTTCTGTATTTCTGCAAGCTGTGTAACATAACAATATATAATCAATTAGTTATATACTCACACAAAAGATACATCTATTTGTTTTGGGAAAACGACTTCTCTGACTTCCAGAATATTTTGAAACTAAAGCTGAATATTTATGACATTACTTTGAAATTAGTTTAACAACAGGTACAAGTCCTTAAGGGAACACACACGTTAAGAGGGGAGAGTGGAACTATGAAGTTAGACCGTTTGAGTTTGAATCCAGGTTTTTAACTTAACGTTCCTAACTAAGCCTCGGCTTCTTCGATTGTATACTGGGAGATAATAACAGTACCAACCCCAAAGGGTTATTCTGAGATAATCTACTGAGAGGAGTGCCCCGCCCATCAGGAACAACAGAGCTTCTACTGTTATCCCAATTACAACATTAAAAGAAATAACAATGCCATTAACTGCTTTGCTTAGAAAGTGATTGCCACAAGCCTCAGGAAGGCAAATCCACAGGTATGAGATGACAAAACGTTTCGTAAAGAAGCACTTCGGTCGAGGTTATTTTGATCTCGCCTTTCACAAGCCACGTTAASTTTCTAGACTAATCTTCAGAACCAAAAAATAAATACATAAAGTCAAATCTAAGGTCACAAATGCAACTCCACAGGCAGAGTTGGTTGTCGCGAGCGTTAAAGAAACACCTGCCAACCTGGTGCACAGATGCTATTTCAAATGAATGGACTGAACCGCTCCGGAACCACTCGGATCTTGGAACTTTCTAGCCTGCAGCAACACTCTTTAAATGAGGAACACAAACACTGCCACTCCCTCATCCCGGCTGAGAAAAATATTCTGTCTAAGGGGTTTCCAGCCACAAAAATCGGTCTTGACCGGCGCCGGAGCAGGAAAAGAAAAGATGCCCGACCCCCGGGGGTGGGGTGGAAACCCCGGCACCAGCGAGCGTGGAAACCGGGAAAACATGCCCCAAAAGCGTGCGCCGGATCCGACCAGCCCCACACCCTCAGCTCGGGCTGCGCCTGCCGCTTACCTTCATCCCGCCGCGCATCCGCCAGACGCGGGCCACACGCGTGGAGGCCGCGCTCGGCTTCCCGGGCCGGTCCCGAGAAGGCCGGCGCCCGCTCCCCGCCCAGCCCCGCAGCGCCAGGCCGCCCTCAACTGCGTACCGTGCCCAGCCTTACCAGACGTTTCACCCAGCGACAGGTGGTGCTTCGGGCGGAGAGGCCGCGGCCCTGCAGCCGGCTCCGTGATGCTCAGCCCCGGCGCCGCCCGGCCTTTCTCAGCTCCGAGTTTCTGAAGCCTGCACCACCTCTGGCTTGCACTGGTCTGGGCGGCCCCACACGTTCCGAGGTAGCCAGGAAAGCGGCGCCGGCCCATGGGCGAACGGACGGGCGCGCGGACCAATGGGAGGCAAGGAGCCGGCCGCGGGGCGGGGCTCCGCCTAGAGGCCTCGCCGCCGGGCGCTCCGGTTCSGCGAGCAGCACCTTCTTCAGCCCGAATCCACGAGGTTAACTGTTCACAGGCCGCGCAGGCTTGTGTGGTGGCGATCCGGAGGACGCGAGAAGGACCCCGCAGAGTAGGAGGAACTCGGAGGTGCGCCTCCGTGAAAGAGCTGAGGCAGACATACGGCGACCCACGCCGGTCCCTCCTGGGGTCTACCGGAGTGTGGGGGGTCGGGGCCGAACGTTCGCGCGAGAAGAGGCTCTGCGCAGGCGCGGGCGGGGGTATCTGCGGGTACCAGTCTTGGAGTCCCGGGAGAAGAGAGGAAGCTGAGATCTGGGTCCCTCCGGCACGATCCTTAGAGGATAGGAGACGATGGAGCTGGATCCAGGGCAGAAGAATGGAAAGGGAGAAGGGGGAGTGCCCCAAGAAGCACTAGGCTCCCGCACTTGAGGAACTCTTTGTGTTTCGGAGCTGTTTTTATCAGGGTGTGTAAGACTGGCTCTTCCTCAAAATTCTAAGCCACTCTTCACCGCTGGTGACACAGTTATGGATCCGCAGGGGATTTACWAATCATCCCTACCGCCACATCACCRTAAATAGATATTCAGTGTTCTTGGGAAAGCGCTGGTGCGCTGAATTTTCCTGTCCTTGAAAGAGGCAAGAACCACGCCTTCCCACATCTGAACACACCCACGGTTAGGGTTTAGGAGGATGTTTGTTCATTCTTAATTCAGAAATGTTGCCACCAGAAATTTCTTACAGTATTCGAAGTTTTATACTCTTAAAGTGGTAATGACAATTTAAGAAATACGATGCAAGGCATATGGAATAAGCAAATTAAAAAGAGATGGAAATGTAGGATGGAGAAAATTGAGGAGTACCAGAGAAAAACGAATCATTCCCTTCCAAAGTCTGACAATTATGTAAATTCTGGAGCAACCATGCCACTCTGAACTTTGAAGGGTGGGGCAGGTGAGAGAACACTGTAGTTAGATTACAAATGATAGGTATGGCTGCTATAGTAACCACCRCAGTAAAAAGGGCTATAAATAAGCGTGACCTAAAATAACCCTGCTAGCCAGAAATTTTCAAGATGCAGCAAGCTGAATGAAGGAAACTTCAAAACTTCAACTGCCTTTGTAGATGCTTCATCGATAGAGAAATAAGAGGCAAGGCATATGGAATAAATAAATAAATTCTTTTTTCTTTGAAAATTTGTCCTATGCTAGAATAATTACAAGAGAAAGGGTTGTAGAGAGCTATCATGGGTGGGACTTATTTTGGTTTAATTGAATCAGTTCATCCTTATTAAATGAAATGTCTGCTAATGTCAAGGAGGCAGATACCTGTTTGGCTGGTCGACTACAATCCACATTTTTTTTTCTCTCTTTAGACACTTCCAGTGATTGATCAAAGGCTTCTTGTGAAGAAACATACTACTAGTTCATTATTAGAAAAACAGGCTTTTTCGCTACTACATACACCCTCATCAGTATGTTATAAAGGATGTTACTAAATATGTTGATGAACAACCGGATGGAAAACATGCATGGGGCAAGGTATATGAGAAGGAATGTGGAGACTCCTTGTCCTCTCTGGCCATGCCACCCTCCAGGCACCTCTACACTTTCAGCAATCAGGAAATTCTCAAACCCTGTCCTCTAGGGTTTATGGAGGTTACTTACATAAGCATGATAGATTTCATCTTTGACCACTGATGATCAATTTAACCTTCAACTGGAAGTCAATGGTAGGTCTGAAAGTTCTAATTCYAATCACATGGTTGGTTTTCCTAGAACCAGCCTCCTTGGTCCTGAGGCTATCTTGGAACCCACGGAGTGTCCCCTCATTAGAGCAAAAATTCTCTTATCACCCAGAAAATTCCCAGAGATTTAATAACTCTATATCGATGTTATCACTCACAATTACAAAAGTCATGAACTCTGCATCATGAGCTGGGGATAGAGACCAAATGTTAGTACAGAAGATAATCATAGTGCCCAATCTGCAAAGATTTTAGGAGTTCTGTCTTAGGAACCAGGGCAGAGACCAAGTAGATGTTTCTTGTTATATCACAGTATCACAGGCTTCAATATGGTGGTAGGRCTATGGAACACTTGAAAGGTGGCTAGTTTTAAAGGGAGATAYATCCTGTATTTGAAGTAATTAAAAAACTGTAAAATATATCAAGAACATTGATCACATGTCAAAGCAATAATTTGGATATTCTGTGTTAAGTGACATACATTAAAATTAATTTTATCTCTGTTCACTTTTTTAAGTACTGGGGGTTGAATCCAGGGCCTCACACATGCTAGGCAAGTGTTTCGCTATTTATCTATATCCCCTTTTTTCTTTCTTTGTGCCGCAGAACATTAAAAATTACATTTTGGGGTAGCTGGAGAGTACAGCTCAGTAGTAGAGTATGTATCTAGCATGAACAATGCCTGGGATTGATYCCTAGCACAAGAAAGAGAAAGGAAGGGAAAGTAGGAAGGAAGAAATATGTAGCTCCTATTTGTGGCTCATATTTTATTTCTGTTGGACACTGCTGGTCTAAGAGGACCATGTTAGAACCACAAGGGAAGCAGCTGGGTGGAGCTTCTGGAAAGGCTTAAAGATTTGCATGTGCCTTTGTTTTCTTCTCCTTTCTTCTTCTTTTTCCCTCCATTCCAGTTCTTTTTGCCAGAAATGTTTGGAGGCATGGCATCCATCACTGGGCCACATGATGACAAGCAAGAYCATGAAGGCCTGCGCTCTAAGGATTTTAGCAGTGTGGAAGRGCTTGAGTCTCTCTCTTCCAATGCATACACATGTGTACTTGAAAAATTAATATAGCAACCTAACATATTCCTTTGTGTAACAGGTACTTGGTGATATATTACTTATGTTAGGGATCTAAACAATGAAAGGATGGGAAAAGACATGTAATTGGAAGATATGAGTAATCTTTAGTGGTAACAAGACACCTAAAACCCCCTCTGCTGGTTTCAATAGACAAGAATTACACTAAAATTAAATTCCCAGGAATTATATCCTTTAAAAGATCTTTAAAGTATATCCTCTACATCCTTTAAAGTAAATGGTCCCTACCACTGATCATGCTTTTTATTAATGATTGAAAACAGATGTGTGGAAAGTGAGTCACATACTTGAAACAATAATCATCTTAAACTGAAAAATCCTGAACTATTTTGAATTTATTATTTAGCCTTTACCAGTTCAGTATTCCTGGAACTGAGTTATTTCATCTTTCAGTGATGCTGTTAGAGTGAGACACTAAGATATCTCACTGGTTAATATTTAAGAGGCCAAAGGGAATCATATACCCTTAAGTCTCTAGAAATAATGCAAGTGTGTAGATATTTTTTAAGTCTAGAAATTCTTAAAAATGATTTTAAAGATCTTATGTCTAATAAATTAAGCCAAGAGCACACAGAACCAAAGTACTATTATTATTATCATCATTGCTACTACTAGATCTGACATYGGCAGTTTGACCTAATAGGAGTTATAAGCTAAAGAAAGAAGTACAAATTAAGTTATTATGATAGGAACAAGACTTGTACATTTTAACAGTAACTGTTAGAAATGATTTTTAGGAACAGACAATAAAAAACCCTATTAGAATCAGTTTATTCCAACAGAGGCTTATTTTTCAAAATAGGAAATGAATAAGTAGGGCCTGGCACAACGGTGCATGCCTATAATCCCAGTGGCTCTCTCTGGAGGCTGAGGCAGGAGGATCATGAGTTCCAAGCCAGCCCCAGCCTTAGTGAGACATTGTCTCAAAATAAAAAATAAAGAGGTCTGGGGATGTGGCTCAGTGGTTAAGCGCCCCTGGGTTCAATCCCCAGTACCTAAAAAAAAAAAAAAAAAGTAACATAGGAGTAGGGTCCAAGGCTGACCAGGACTCAGTCACATCCTGAACGTTCCCTGAGGGAGTGAAAAAGACAGGTCTTCCAATGAGTGGAGATAGATCCTGACAATCCTTGACCAGAAATAAGGCTCAACTGAAGGAGAATGGAGATAACCCATTTATGGATAATCCATGAGTTTGAATGTGGGCTGGGGCTGCAAATTTTCTGGACAAATGCCTCAATTTTTCTTTTCTTTTTTTTTTTTTTTTTACTGTTTACTTGTTTACGTTGAAGTAAACAGTATACTTTGAGTATACTTTGGACATTTGGAATATTTGAATTCTAGAGCTCTCTTTCACACTTTTTTTTTTTTTTTTTACTATGGATTGAACTCAGAGGTACTTGACCACTTGAGCCACATCACAGCCCCATTTTGTATTTTATTTAGAGACGGGGGTCTCACTGAGTTGCTTAGCACCTCTTTGTTGCTGAGGCTGGCTTTGTACTCACAATCCTCCTGCCTCGGCCTCCTGAGCTGCTGGGATTACAGGCGTGCGCCACCATGCCCAGCTCTCACACATTTCCCCCCGACACACATTCTTTTAGTAAGGCACTGGGCATCTTTTTCTCCTGTCAGTGCGCAGGATTAAATTTTTCCTACCTATCTCAAAAAGCATTGAAAGGAGATGAGATGAAAATGTGCAAGAGTTTTGTAAAGTTAGAAGRATGAAATGCAAACAAAGAATTCTCATTCAGGCTCCCTGCCTGGAATGTAGATGAAGTGCAGTAAATATTAATAACCATTCATTAAGCAGTTAATATTTGCTAAGCATTATTCTAAGGCCCCTCCTGTATATTTTAAAATAATTTAATTATCTTAACATTATGAGGTAAGTATAATTATTATCCCATTTTAAATGTGGAAAAATTTGAGGACTTAGAGGTTGATTTGTTCAAGGGTACWCCGATAAATAAGTGATACACAATATTTTTGTGTACAGTTCAACGTCTTTTAAAGATAAGAAAAAACCTGTAGAGCACTATGTCAGGCCCACCC